TTTACAATAGTACGTACATTCAAAAACACAATTTGTAATACATCAAATTACAGGTCAAAAGGTGCCTTCTAGAGAAAAGAGGGTCAAGTGAAATTTAAAAGAAAATGAGTCACTTTCAAATTAGATTGTTAATGATGGGAAAAATTTGTGCTCAAGGCAATGTTGAAAAAAGTTAGTTTGATTTTGTCATCAACAATTCTTTCTTAATAAAAATCTATTAACAAAATTATATTTCACTGCATGCAGGTTCAACTTCTAAAATGAGCACCACCTCTCTTTTCTTGAGATTATATTACTGAAACATAATAATGCACTCTCTTTTCTTGAGATTATATTACTGGAACAAAATAATGCAATCTTAATTACTGATTTCCACACTCATGTGTATGTCATGGGGGGATGAATACATCTTATTAACTATAACAAATATTTTATATTGAATATGTATCAAACGGTAACAAACTTCAACTCAGTATTTATTATTAGGATCAAAACGATATTACAGTTAAAAATTCTCTCACTCTCCTTTTTTTTTTAAATACTATTTAAAATATGGTTAAGTTTTTTACATCACATTTTTTCAATTACATTAAATTTCTAACAGCATCGTAGATGAGACAGAATTATAATCCAGATTATTTTTATTTTAATTGATTTTATAGAAAATAATGATACAGCATTGAGCTCTATAAAAGTAATCTGATTTTTAAAATAATGCTGTTTAACTGTTTATGTTCAATGTTGCATGAATCAAGATCTTCAGCTTTTTTTTTTTTTTTTTTAACAAAGTAAACATATCGCACAATCTTTTCTCAATAATTTAATGCTAATAACAGCATTTTTCTTTTTTTATCGCAAGCAGTAATTGTTTATGAAATCAAAACGCGTACGACTTGGCGAAAAAAAGTTAACGCCAATTGGCGCAGCTTTCTATTTCAACGAAATACACGGAAAAAAACATATAAAATTCAATTATTTGTAAAGGATGAATCCAGTAAATAGTGTCACAGTATTTAATACATTTTGATGCTAATAATACATGCTGAAAATGTCATATACAGCGGCAATTTTCTTGTACAATATGGCTGAAAATTTCCAACCAATTCAACAGAGATAGTAAAACGACAGAAATACTGAAAATAAAATAATAAATCATGCAGTTTTAACTTACCTATGAAAGGTTACAGGTCCTCCTTTCACGAAACTTTCTTTACATCCATAGGCGCTGCAGCGAATAACCATTTTTACTTAAATTTTATGTGACCAAGCAGAGCAGCAGTCTTTCGTCCCATAGAAAGCAATGTAAAGTATTTCCGGACTTTCGGAATTCGCGCAGCAGTCACGTGACACTAATGTTGGAACCGGTTGAAGGTTGCAATAAGCTCTCTACCAGTATATTATCTCGTTGAGAAAATCACTTCCGCCCCAACTGCCTGGGGTTATCACATCTAACAACGTTATATTCCGGCTAGCTACGCGGGACTTTTTGAAACTGAACTGAAATGTTTTGCTTGGAATTCCAAGGAGTATAATGCATCGTCGCAGTTATGTTTGATATTTTCTTCTTCGTGCTTAGGAAAATTACGTTCTGTAATTTCGATATCTCCGAATATTTTTATGACATGCTCTCTGTGAATAGTGCATTAGGAGAGAATGGCAAGAACTTTTTTGGTTACCTTGTATTTTTCTTCTGTAGTAATTTTTCTTCTGTAGCAATGCTTTCTAAGCGCGCATCAAAGTCTACCAAATGGGTCGGAAGATACAATTCCTGCGGATCGAGTACCTGCCAAAAATAATAAAGTACCATAAAGTACCTGCCAAAAATAATATTAAATTAAAATTATGATCAGTTGTAAAACAATAATAACTTGTGCTGAATGAGTTGTATAGTAGCAATAAATTGTAAAAAGTAATATATTGTATTAAAAATAATTTATATTGCATGTTCAGTTTTGTAGTACATGCATTAATAAATTGTATTCTTTACATGATTTTTTTCAATTTGTAATGCATTGCATTAAAAATAAGTTGTATTGCACTTACAGTCTTGTAATACATACATTAATAAATTCTATTCTTCACATGATTTTTTTCAGTCTATTGAATTGAAATGAATTGTAAAGTAGTAATATATTGTAAAAATATTTTGTTTATAATAAATTGTATATTTTGTTATTAATTTTTGTTAATAATAAATTGTATTATACATGAAATTTTGTAACATATACAATAATAAATCGTATTCTATATATGATTTTCTCAATTTATATTATTGTTAATTATACTATAAATTATTTTATATTTATTATTTGTAATGTTACGGATCCCCAAACGTTTTAGCCTCGCGCCCTAACTGTGATCCTTCGTGATCGAATACGCGTGTAATTACGATTATAGTGTCCCATATATTTTTTGATGCTCTGAAAAATGAGATTCCTAGAAGAAAATAATATAATACAGAAGTGAATTTATCTAACAACTAACACTAAATTAATATTATAAATAAATTCGCAGTTACGAGTAAATATGTATTATCGTATAACAGGTTAAAAAGTATTTCAAAACTTTTCTCGATCCGCAGGAATTGTATCTTCCGACCCATTTGGTAGACTTTGATGCGCGCTTAGAAAGCATTGCTACAGAAGAAAAATTACTTGTTTATTATCTTTCTGAGGCTAGTTCATTTACTTGTGCTTTGAATTCAGCGAATAAGTAGCTGGAAATGATATAAACAATTATAAACTAAACCTTATAAACAAACTAAATATTTTTTACAGTTACCTTTCTTTTCTGAGAATGAATCTGGACGAAATAAACTGTAAAATAAATGAATGTATTGTGCAAGACATACATAATTTTGTGAAACCCAAAAATATTGTAGGAAAACTGGAGAAGAGATCCACAAATAATGTCTGAAATATCACATCTTATGTTGATACTTATGTGATATTTGCTGATATTTGTCTTTGTTCAACGTAAAATCTGGCATGATGCGATTAGCAAGAGAAAGAAGTGCAGTGACCTTCCTTGAGAAATGTTTTAATTATAGAAAAAGATGTAATGCGGAAAAAGTTTAAGTGATATCTGGAAAATTTAGAAACTTTAATGGATGCAACCCGCATCATTACCGTTGCAACAAATACAAACCTTATTTTTCTGCAAAAGCAAAAATTCATTTCCCACTGTTAAAAGTTCCGTTAAATGTTTCACCAAATTATAGTGCTCATAAAGTTTCAACCAAAGGATTTGGTTTTCCTTATTGTAAAGGACGTTTTTCCTTATTGTAGCTTGGAACTTTGGTTGAACCATTAATTAAGTTTAATTTGAACCTTTAAATGAGAATGTTGAACTATTTCTCAGGAGTATGTTGAACCTATTAATTAGGAATATGTTGAACCATGAATTCGGAATAAGTTGGTTGTACAATGAACTGGTAATACGTGATAAGATTAACTGTAATTATAATAAACATTAACTGTGACAATTGTGAACCATGGCCTAGAAATATGCTGAACAAATTAATTGTAAGATAGAGTAAGTTATTAAGAGCCGATGGCATAACATTACAATTCATTTTTGAGAATATGATGAACATATATGTTGAATTAAAGTATGTACTTTTAATAAAATAATACTATGTATATAAAAATTCCAGGAGGCATGTCAAAAATCATTTCTAAAAATCATTTTTCAAAAATTCATTCCATAATTACACACATGACTGACAAGAATTTCATAAATATTTGTGTCTGGCATATAAATAATGTTATTTATTCATTAAGATGCATTCATTTCATTAATATTATCGAATGCGCGCAGGTTCGTAATGGATTGAATGCACATAGAACCGGTGATAACTTGATAAAATTTATTTTCCAAAAGAAACACTTAACAGTTGTAGAGCTTTCCACAGAAGTACTCGTACAGCTATTCTTAGTACGACAGAGCCCAATCAGTAGTTACCACTAAACTACTAAGAAAGTTAAACACAGCACAATGCAAAGCGCCTCGGAAGAGCGAAGCTTGCACGGAGATATCTCAGTACTGCTAAGTCAACTCTGAACTGATAAACTTAGAACTGATGCTCTCTCCGGTCTTATAGAGATTTCCTCCGGCTGACTCTAGAAGTCTCTAGTACCTTCTATTTCTCTAACTTACTGGAAAGCATATACGGTTAAAGTTAACATGCCCGGATACGGCTACAGTTACATATAGAGATCAATTATAGTTGTTCAATTACAGTTATAAAGAAACCGGACAAAAATGTCGCCATATAGTCGCTAAAACCAAAAATTAGTTGCCAAAACCCATCGCGCAAATTTAGCGAGACAGCCATTTACCTCAATGTTAAATAGACTTGTCTCTGTAATCTTATTTTTACGGTTGAGCTTCAACCTCTTCAGACTTTTCATCTTACATTTTTCAAAAGGCATCGTAATTTCTCTAAAATTCTTTACTTATATCCAAAATTCGTAACATTGCCCCCCTTTCCAAGGATTAAACGTCCCGGGCACTACAATCCCTGAGCAGGAAGCCATATCTATGACTAAGGAAAATCAGTGCAACACTAAAAGAATAATTTCAATAAATAACATACAACAAATTAAATACTAAATCAATAAATGAATGCATAAATTTACAAATTTATATACAAAGATTACCATGGTCTTAGAATATTATTGACATGTACACTACGGGAAAAAGGAGCTATGGTCATAGCAACGGGCTAGCGTATCGTAATGAACGATTTTAGACTTAAAAATTTGTTCACTTACGGAACCGAATTACAACAAAATGCCAACTAAAATTCCCTAAAGGTATCGTAATGAACGATTTTAGACTTAAAAATTTGTTGACTTACGGAACCGAACTACAGCAAAATGCCGACTAAAATTCCCTAAAGGGATAAACTACTGTTGGCTTTTCCAGCGACGGCGAGAAATTATAATTAGAACAGAGCGGAACGATGATGTGAAAGGATATATAGATTGATCCGGCACTGTGCTGCGTAAGATATTTAATATTTGTTTGAAACATGTTTGTTTTTGTTTTCAATAAATATTCAAAAGGCACCTATGGTAAAATGAACGAGTCAACACTTCAAAACGAAGATACTACATTGTTGGCGATTCCAGACGTGATTATGATTAACTCTTTGGATTAATTGCTTTGGTTTGGAAGTTTCTGATTCACCACTGTGAAATTGAGGTAGGTCCCCTTAGATTCAGTTTTTGAGGTGTTATGAATTTGTCTGTGATAGGAAGTTTTGAATTTATAGTGGTCATTTGATTATTTAGTTATAAATTGAATTGGAAAATTACTTTTTTAAACAGAAGTAAGACGAAACTGCTTTAGACAGCTTTTCTAATCTTTTAACAAAAATTGGAGACGCAATAAATAAACTTTTAAGTGAAACTTTAAGTTTTGATTGAAAAGATAGAGAATTTTGAGGATTTAGAAAATGAAATAGAAGCGATAATCGGTATAGATGTGTTAGAAAACGAAATTCTTGAGAGTGAAGAGTATCAGGAACGCGGTATTCAATAGGAAGCGAAAACAGGCATATAAGAAAGTGTTCTTACGTGGCTTCGCGAAGAGAAATTCAGGTTAATAATTCGAATGAAAATGTTAGGCTGTAACAACGCGTAGTAAGAAACGAAAGTAGTGTAGTTAAGCTTCCGAAATTAAGTACTGAGACATTTTATGGTGATTGTAGTTCTTGGTTGGATATCTGGAATTCCTACGAAGTAGCTATTCATAATAACGATTCTTTAAGTAATGTTGAGAAGTTTTCGTATCGAAAAACATTTTTAAGAGTTACTGCCTTGTCAGCAATTTCGGGATTTTCGTTCGTTTATGATTCCTCAATTAAGTTGTTAAAAGAAAGATTCGGAAGGCTAGATTTGATTATAAGTTCGCACGTAAATAAACTGCTGCTGATTGATTCCGTTATGACATGCGCGAGCGTTCCAGCAGTGCGAAGAATGTGTGATACGATTGAAATTCAAATTCGTTCATTAAAGTCTTTAGGTGTTGTAGCAAGCATTTATAGTAGTTTACTTTGCCTGGTAAAACTACAAAAAATTCCAGAAGAGTTAAATTTGTATTACAATAGAGAACGCGAATCGCGTGAATCATTTAATACAGAACAATTAGTTGAGTTTTTGAGAAAGGATGTAGAAATAAGAGAAGCGTCTTCTATATTATGAGATTCAAAAAACTTTAAACGAAATTAAATTCCTGTTAGCAATAGGGGAACGAGTCTAAATTATCAGAATAAAAATTATGTAGACTCAAAGCGAAACATTTCAAAAGCGCGCATTCCAACAGTGGCTACTTTAACTGTCGTAGCGAATGAAATATGTCCTTTTTGCTCGGATAAATCTCACATAAACCTCAGAAATGTCTTTTGCTATAAACCTAAGAAAGAAATTCGTTAAAAACCTAGGGACGATGTTACATTTTTTCTAAAACGTTGACTTACATCAAAATTTTGCTGAAAAAACACCTGCTGTGCAAAATATGTAAAAAAAAAACTCACAATTATTTAATATACGATAAGGTTGAGCCGACAAATAATTCAGCCGAATCAAGTAGTAAAGAAATGGAGAGCAATTTACCTACGGTACAGTCAATTATGTTTCGGAAATAAAAGTTTTAAATTGTAAACAAAATCGAGAGAGCTGGAATAGCGTCGCCGGTTTTATTACAAACATTTAACGCTATAGTAAAAATAAATAAAACAGGCGAAATGGTGAGGGTGTTAATAGTTATAAAAAAGAAAACTACCGACTCATTAGGATTGAAGGCTACCAGATGTGAAACATTCGAAATATATAGCTTAGAAACAGCAGCATAAGAGAGTTGAACTTGATTTATAGAATAGAATCAACCCTAGTAAAAAAAGCACAGAAGCGGTGGTAACTGATTAATGCGATTACGCAAGACCACATAGAAGTTTCTTCAAAGTGGATTAGAAACATGGCTCTAAGTAAAGGAATAAAATTGGCCGATAATGGAAATACGAAAGAGATACACATTTTGATCGGCTTAGGTTACATTTGGGACATTTTATTAAAGAAACAAGATTAGGGAAACGATTAGCTATTACAGGTAGTTTGTTTGGGTTTGTAATCCATGGTAAAGAAATGGGATCGGATAATCATGGAAATTATGATTATGATAAGACTTGTGTAAACCGTATCTCTGTGAAGGAAGAAACAGATTTTGAAAGAGTAGGGAATTTATGGGATTTGGTGGCTAGGAAATTTCGCGATCAGATGAAAATGTCATAGACATGTTTGAAAGAAATACCATGTTTAAAAATGAGAGATATGAAACTAAATTATTATGGAAGGTGGGTTGTTACGCACTGAACAGTAATTATGAAGTTGCAAAGAGACGTTTTATAAGCTTAAATAACAAACTTAGGCATGATCCGCATCTGTACTCAGGTGCCGTTATAAAGAAATAATTAATGAGCATTTGGCTTTTCCCGCGCCGGGAGGAAAATATAATTAGAGCAAAACCGAGCGATGATATCAAGAGATGCATAGATTGATCCGGCACTGTGCCGGGTAAGATATTTAATATTTGTTTGGATCATATAATTAGAACAAAACCGAGCGATGATGTGAAGGGATGCATAGATTGATCCAGCACTGTGCCGGGTAAGATATTTAATATTTGTTTGGATCATGTTTGATATTGTTTTCAATAAATAATCAAAATTGTAAAATGAACCTATTGTAAAATGAATGACTCAACACTTCAAAACGAAGACACTACAGCCTGTTTAGGACTGTGTAAGGACCGTCCCAGGGTGACTATAGTTTAGAAGAAAGTCCTTTTCAAATCGGATTCTATAACCACACTTGTCACCCTCGTTGGATCGATGTCCTGTAGCTTTCGTGTCGTAGGAGATTACTCCGGTACGGCATGGATTACTTCTGTATGACTGCAGATGTAAAGGCGTCATTTGGGTTTTTGTCTACGCCGAGTAGTTTACAGAGTTCTTTAGTTAATGCCGAGGTAAAATTTCTTCCTTGATCTGAATATAGCTGAGGCGCTCCTGGAAATCCAATGATGTAGCATTAGTTCTGCTACCGGGACAGCCTCTTGATCAGGAACAGGACAAGCTTCAGGCCACTTGATGAAGTAATGAATGACAACCGCACATCTATTTGTTGTGGTAGTTCGTGGCAGAGGTCCTAGGATGTCATAGGCGATGCGTTTAAAAGGCGCACCTACGCTGTAACGTTGCAGCTTGTCTCGCCTGCATTTGTTCGGTCCTTTCCGTCCTGCACAGGCATCGCAAGATTGTTACAACTTCTGTATGTCATACCTTGCATTACTCCAGTAGAAGCGCTTTCGAACTCTATGTAAAGTCTTCATTATTTGGAAGTGCCCTCCATAATCTTTCAAGAATGTCAGGGATCCGGGATCTTGGAAGTGTAAGTTGACATCGGAATGACTTTCCATCATCCGCTTCGAACTTCCGGTACAAGACGCCGTTTCGAATACGGAGTGAGTCCCAGAGAGCCTATTTTGGCCAAGTCCCATAGGACAATAGATTGAAGTATCGTGTCAGGTAGATTTCCTATTCAAAGATTCCATTAATTCAATTTTGGGTTTTATGTTACCGCTTTCCAACTGGTCTCCCCTGTCTTCTTCGTCACTCCATGGGTCTCGACTGGCCGATGCTGAAGGTGTAACCTGATGTGCGACCGCATTAACCAGATCGTATTTCGCTTCGACCCTGGAACAATAATGGCAGATTTTAGCTCAGGGTCTTCTAGACAGCTCGTCGGCATTTTCGTGTGATAATCTCTCCCAATGACGGATTGTTATATCATATTCCCTTAGTCTCTGTACCCATCTGGCTATTTGGCTTTCGGGACTCTTGAAATTTAATGGCCAGGTCAATTATCTGTGCGGCGCGGGAATTTTCTGCCGTAGAAGTAATAACGGAAATGTTCTACGGCTTTAATTATGCCAGGCAACTCTTTTCTTGTGACATAGTAATTCCTGTCCTGTTTAGATAGACACTTGCTCAAGTATAGTAATATTTTTCCTTGACCGTTGATTTCTTGGGATAAAACAGCATCGACACTCTGATTGTTCGCATTCGTGTCAAGAATAAGTGGTTTGTTGAGCTGAGGATACGTCAGGATTGTCGCATATCTTAAAGCCTCCTTCAGTTTATTAAGTTTATCCTCACATTCTTTTATCCGCAAGAACCTTTGCTTCTTCTCATGATAGAGCACAATTAGTAGTTACCACGTCAAACCGCTTACTAAGAAAGTTAAACACAAGACAATGCAGAGCGAATCTAAAAAGCAAAGCTCACGTGGAGGTATCTCGATACTCCGAGTCACCTTGAACTGACAAACCAAGAACTGAATGAGTTTTCCCCGTCCCCCGAGAAATATCTGGTATGGAAGAGTTACATATAAGCGCCGCATACGGTTTCTGTTACATATAGGAATCAAGGGTATAGTAGTTGGGGAAGACTGACTGCGATACCGAAGATCCCGGGATCGAATCCCGTAGGAGGCATGGATGTAAAATGTCTGTCCTTTCATAGGACATAACAGTGCCCGCCTATTAGGTGCCTGTAGAATGAAATGACCACCAATTCTGGCCTTCGGAGTGGCCAATGACGTTATATGCAGATGTCCGAAATTGGGAAAAAAAATCACAGATATTCAGTTCCAGTGCCAGACCAAAATGTCGTCAAATGGTGGCCAAGTTTGGCGACTATTTGCGACAAAACCATTGCTAACTTGGCGATATCTCGCTAATTTAGCGAGATAGCTGTTTACCTTGCCTTTGTACTCTTACTTTTCCAGAGAGATTTGTTTCTTCAGACATTACATGTTATATTATACAAAAGGTATTATCATTTATCATGTAATTTCACAAAAATTATTTGCATGCATACAAAATTCGTAAGAATAGGACTGCTATTCAACTCATTTATAATTTTCATAATTAATAGATAAGCCGGCATGGTTTGGCCAAAAAAGTTTAACATACTTACATGAATAGTTCTGAAGTCAGTTCCATACATGTTTCTAGATCTCATATTTTACATCTTTACGTGAGTTAACAATTATAAATAAGCAGTTTTAATACATTGTTAAAAAATAAATATAAAATTTGATTAATAAAACTGAAATATATCAATGTGAAAGAATTGTAAGGTT